TCTTCAACATGGCGGCGACCATGGACAACAGCAATGCCGTACAGGCGTGACACTTCCTGTTCTCAGGGGGCGTGGCCTAAATGATGTCATCATTTTACTATTGGGTATTGTAGGGGACCCGATGATGATCAATCACTGAAAGTTTGGTGCTGCTGTGAGTATTTTTGTAAAAGTTATAACCGTTTTATTTTTCATGGCGACTAGGTGAACTTTGACCCCAGGTAACCCCCCTTCAGGAAGGTCGAAAACGCAAACCTTTGATAACTTTGGATCGGCCATGCCTTATGAACGATCTGACCGAGTTTGAAGCCGATCGATCGAAATCCCTAGGACAAGTTCGAAAAAATGCGAACCCTGTAAACGGCCAAAATCGGGTCAAAATCGGAACTTCAATCCAAAATGGCCGACATTCTGTGATACTTGCACTGTGACATTAATTGTAAATTCTGAGTGTCTTGGTGAGCTCTACAAGTGTACCGAATTTCAAGTCTCTACGATGAAGCAAGTGAATAGGAAAGGGTCTTTTGAAAGTTGCTAGGTGGCGCCCTTGAGCCGTTTCTTGTGCGATTTTTCTGGGGACCTTAAAATACGAAATTTTTCACCGGGCTCTATGCCCCCGCCAAGTTTGGTGAGTTTTTGAATATGATAAAGCCTCCAAAAAGCCAATTTATTTTACGGAAGCATAATAATTTACAGCACAATTTTAGTAGGCCTTCGCAACGCTTCGCTGATCAGGGCTAATAATAATAAGAAGAAATCCTGCGATTCCAATAGGCCTTCGCAGCGCTTCGCTGCTCGGGCCTAATTATCTTGACGTGTTGAAGTTTAAAACTTTCTCAGCATAGCCCCTTTGAACACCTGCATATTCTTTAAAAATCTCTGCATGTCTGCACAAGAGAGGTTGTGTGAATCACCGACTGGAAGTCAACCACCAATAATTACAGGCTGAGATACACAAGGAGAAAATTCTTGTAAATCTATTTAGCTTTTTGTCACTCAGTCTTAACCCCTCTAGGCAAACAGCCAAGCCCCTGTTTCAACATGTGTGATTTCAAGGAAGCCAGGAAACACAATCTGCTTAGTTCTGGGAATTTGGGTCTAACGGCAAGCAGCGGGGAGATATTACCAGAGGCAGATGGTGTGGAGTGATAGTAATTAAAAATTTGGAGAAGATAAAGAGGCATTATAGATCCAGTGGTTCTTTAGAAAGTAGAGCGCCTTCATGCTAGTCATCTGCTCTGTTGGTCTGCTAAATTTGTCAGGTTGCTCCCACCTCTCAAACTATGAAGAACTGAGTGAAATCTCATTTTTTAAGAATGATTTTGTGGGGGAAAAAAAAATCAATCAATGTGTTATGCATAACCAATAAATCTATCTTAAATTGTTTTAAGGAAGCATAATGGGTCCCCTTCATTTGTTTTAATGTTTTCATGCATCTTCCATATTTAAAAGTTTTATCCATGTTAACAGGGTTAACAGAGTAAATCAGTTACCAAAAGTCAAGGCTTAAAGTGGTTCCAGTTTTCAGATGTGGGTTTGATTAATATGACAGATCCAGGATAAATTATTGGAGAAAGTGAAGTCACAATTATTTTACCACAAAATTTAGAGCTGACAAAGATCAGATTGTGTTTCCTGGCTTTCTCGGAAAGCCAGGAAACACATGTTGAAATGGGGTCTTAGCTGTTTGCCTAGAGGGGCAACCCTGAGTGACAAAAAGCTAAATAGATTTCCAAGAATTTTCTCCTCTTGTAAGCCTTATCTGTATCTAAGCCTTTAATTCATGGTGGTTGACTTTGCAGTCGGTGATTCACACACCCTCTTTTGTGCAGAGACATGCAGAGATTTTTAAAGAATATGCAGATGTTCAACATTTTAAAGGGGGCTATGCTGAGAAAGTTTTAAACTTCAACACGTCAAGATAATTAGGCCAGAGCAGCGAAGCGTTGGCGAAGGCCTATTGGAATCGCAGGATTTCTTCTTATTATTATTATTATTTTTCCGTCACTTCGCGGGGCTGTTTGGGACCTTTAACATATTCAAAAACTCACCAAACTTCACCCCAAATTGTGCCCCGACGAAAATGTTCGGATTCTGGTGGAATCCAAAGTGGGTGTGGCCAAACTCCTCTACAGCGTGTTAAGAAAATAAATTTAATATAAGCTAGTTTTAAAACTTAACATGTCTTGATAGAAATAGCCTAATTATAGTTTTAAAATTAATAACTTATTCTGCCCTATTCACCTTTATTTTACTTGTAGTTACAGCAGATCATTTGCTAAGATCTTTGATCTGCCCTTTGTGTGTCTGGGAAAGCAAATCAGGAAAAGTTCCAGCTTTTCACACTGATCTGTGAAAGCCGTAAAACAGCAGGTGTTCAGGAGAAGCTCTGGTTCCACTTTATTTAAACAATGGGACAAATGGCTTTAGAGAGAGGGTCAGAGACACAAACATAAATCCAATTAAAATTCGTATTAAGAGACATAGGAATGGATTTTCAGGGAACGAATTTAAAGAAGAAACCCAGCTTTTAAACCAGAGCTAACGTAACTTTCACTGGCTTGCATCGGCCAGGAAATTTCGTCTCATTTCCAGTGGACTAATAATTATTTGGGTTAATTGGACCGAGTTGTATTACTCGTGGAATACAAAGGACTGATACGGGTTGAATCACCTTTCTCTGGCACTCTGAACCGAATGCGAAGGCTGTAAACAGCCAAAATGGGGTCCAAAATGGCCGACTTCCTGTCATACTTGGACTAT